ACAGACAGACACACAGACAGACACACACGAGGTCGTTTGCATAAGCCCGCTGGATAGCTTTTTCAAAGCAGAAGGGCGGGCTAAAAACACAAGTTAAGATTCACGGATAGAAACGTTTGAAGCATTATTGATAGAATGTCAACGTACGTAAAATTATGTCTAAATTTTAATGAGTAGATTTTATAACTACAGCTTGGGGCTCGATACTATCCTATAATTTTCATTGGGTTGAAGACTTGCAATCCACATTGAATCTATCATCGAAACAACATTCGTGTACCTCCTGCACTTTTACTGGATTCAAAATTTCTTATTATTACAAGTTCTCTTAAAATGGAGAGTCAAGTGGATGTTGGGATGTTAAGTGAAGATGATATTACCTATGGATTCAATGAGGAATTCAGTTACCCTGACTCATGGGATGCACCTGGCAACCAAGATGTCACAGGTCAGAAAACTTTGAGCCAATGCAAAGAGGAAAATGTTCCCCAAAACCATAAAGAATTGAGTTCATCTCAGTCGCATAATGTCTACAACAGCCAAGAAATCAGAGGACATCACCAAGAATCACTCAGTGCCCAAATTAACCAAAACAAGGAAACGTCCAGTGGGAAGGTTCAGTTGAGTGAAGGGTCGTTTTCTGAGGTAAGGAGAATGCGTCAACATTTAGTAAAACAAAATGGGTCTGAATTTTAAGTCCAAACCGGTCCAAACACTATACAAAGATGACATCACTAAATTATTTGAAACTATTTATGAGTTCTAATATTTTTGTTACAGAATCCGACGTCCTGCACACAGGAGAGAAAACAATTAGAATATTATGTAAAGCATTTAGAGTGGCATTGTGCTGTCTACCGTAGTGCTCTGAGTAATGTTACTGATGGGCACAAACTCATCAAAGAAGCTGCAACTAAATTTTATGAAGCTGCAGAGGAAGACAGGCATTGCAATTCTTGTGAAATTGAGTGCCTCAAGGAAGAAATACGGGAACAGCAAATACAGATCAGGCACTACAAAAATCTCCAAATGTAACTAAATAATGAAGTCCATGAGTATTGCTCAAGGTTGCATGTCTTAAATGACTTGTGAATAAACAAGATTTCGAAAGAAGTTGTGAAAAGTTAATGCAAAGAAAATACGAGAAGGCATACTAACACCATACTTACTCGTGACAAACCCGTCTCCAGTTTGATGGCGAACATTGCTCTTCATTTCATTTAAGGTGGGAAATACCCATTGAACCTTAGAATTTAACCTGTTTTTACTTATCTTCCAAAAAAATTAATCATGACTAAATATTGCCTAAGTGAGGTTTTCCTTCACTAGTTCAACTCTCTGACAATTTATAAAACATTAGAGAGACCCATAGAATCATTGGAAATTGTTTGGATTGAAGGGTTCTGGCTTTTGGGACATTTTTACTTTAACATCTTGCGCGCAATTTTTCTCCGGAACTATTTGAGTCAAAAACCTGGGTGAGGTCACATCTTGAAGAGAAATAAACAGGCATTGGGACACCAGGCCCCTTTTTCTTTCAATGACTGCAGAGGATCAATTGATATATCAGGAAATAAATGGTAATAACGCGACTGAATGAGAAATGTCTTTCATAGGTCAACTCAAAGTACTTTCCTCACCCTCACCGGACTATAAAATTCGGAATATAACCCAAAAAACCGTTAGCTGAACAGGGTAAACAACCAA